GCGCCCGCGGCGCCCCCGAGCCACGGTGTGGGGGCAGGCGGAGGGGCTGCGGGAGACGGGGGGGGGGGGGGGGCCGCCCCCGGCCCCCGCCGTCCCCCCCGCCCCCCGCTTTGCCAGGAGCTTCTGCTCGTCCCAGCCGTGCTGCTGGAGGGAGCGCCAGCACGAAGCTGCCTGCGCCCACTCGGTCGCAGCTCCCCGAGGATCCCCAAATCTTTCCACAGGCCCACAGCGCCTCGTGCTGAACAGCAATGGCTCCCACCACGCCGCTCCTGCTGCTGGCAGGGATGGCGCGGGGTGACCTTGCTGCTGGGAAATGGCTCTGGCTTCTTCCAGGCTGCGCCTGCCCTGGAAACAGCTGACACACGCCGTCCTGTGGCACCACGGGCAGGCATGTCCTGCAGCAGTGCTGCTGTTGGCTGTGGGCAGCTCTGCAGCTCTCGGTGCTCTCTGCCTGCGCCAGAGAGGGGGCCCACAGGCATCTGGATCCTGGCAGAAATCCCTGCTGTCCCCGGAGCAGGGGGGCACGTGCCCAGCACAGTAGTGAGAACTCCCATCTTCGCCCGTCGGGCTGGACCAGCTGGAGGCTGGTGATGCTCCATAGGGCAGTCCTGGCCCACGGCCACAGGGCTCTGCTGGGAAAGCCTGGGCTGTGCCCCCCTCATGCTGCAGGCGGGGAGGGGGGCACAGCTCTGCAGCACTTGGCACCTCTCCTGGCACTTGCCAGGAGAGCAGTGGGGCAGGTGCATTCGGGTGCCCTCCTTCCCCTCGGGGAGCACACGCTGCCTGGCCCCTGCCCGCCTGGTGCACGTGCCGTGTCACTGCCTCCCCGTGCATGCAGCCTCCCCGACAGCCCCGTCCAGCTGCCTGTGGCATGGCCCCTGCGATGCTGCTGCCATCTTCCTCCCTCTGCCAGTTGCCACAACATGGCCTCAGCCCCCCCAGCTCTCCCTCCGATCCAAGAGCCCCCCACAGCTGCCCTGGCTGGCTGCCTGCACGCCTGCCGTCCTGCCTGCACCCCTGCACGCGGGGCCTCATCACCACCTCCCGCAGCAGCCTGTTCTGTCAGCCCTGCAGATGAGTGAGCCATAAACAGTCCTTCACGGAGACGTTTTTCACACACAGGGCCACATGTTAACAGTTTTTCTTTATTTACTGCCTCCATTTCCTCTTTGTTCCAGGAACTTGTCCTCCAACTTCAAGCTGCTCATGATTAGGCAAAAAGGCCTCTAATCTCCCCGATCTGATTTACCGTCACTGAGAGCAGACGCTTCCCGTTACTGGCCCTGGACCTGGGAGCATGGACAGCCGAGCTCTGCCGGCTGCTGAGCCGAGCCTCTCCTCCCCAAAGCTGCCCCGCTGCACGCGCTGCCTTCCCAGCAGCTTCCTCTTCCAGTAAGCGCTGGGCAGCCCGGCCGGTCACGCAGCAGGTGAAGGGCTGGGGGGGAAGTATAGCCGCTGGGCCCTGGGCTGGGGACCCCACTGTGTCTGAGGCAGCTGCCCTAGGGCAGGGCAGGCTCTGGAGCCACTTTCTCTGCTCCCTCGGGAATGGCCAGCTGGCTGGAGCATCCCTCAGCTGTGGCCTCCTCAGCTGCTCCCCCATCCGCTCCTGCTGCTCCTGGCAGGGGTGGCCGGGTGGCCCTGGGGTGCCCCATGGGGCTGGCTGCAGCACTGTTCCTGGTGTTGGGAGAGCACCTGTCCTGGCCATGCTTCTTGTCTCAGCCCCTGCAAGCGCTGGTTTCGGAGACCTGAGGGGGTGGCTCGGGGCTCTGTGCTGTGCAGCCCCCCCCAGCCCAGGTAGGACCTGGGGTCCACAGCCATGCAGGGACTCCTTCGCTGGGAGGCAGCCACATCCTTTGCAGGACCTTGCAGCGTGGCAGGGTCTCCCCCGTGGAGCCCCATGTCCTGCCAGCCCCACTGCCTCAGGGGTCTCCCCCCGCCGCTGACACCTAACGAGCTCCCCCGACTGTACAGGGCCCAGCAGGGCCATGGTGGGGGCTTGGCGGGGCCAGCACTGGGGCCGGCGGGAGGGCTCGTGGCCACGTGTGGGGCTGGCTGAGCCAAGGCCGCAGGCGTGTGGGCAGCGGGATGGCAGCTCCGGCGCCTGGCCGGCGGCTCGGTGGGGGCTCGGCCAGCGGCTGTGGGGGCTCGCCTGGGGGCTCGCCCAGGGCCGCGCTGTGCCACGGCTCCCACGGCTGCCACCTGCCAGCGCCGGCGGCGGCTCCCGTCCCCCCAGAACGTGCAGTCGCGGTGGGCTGAGCTCATGCTCCAGCGGTGCCTCCCCAGGGCTAAAATTAGCAGCAGAGGCCTGGCTGGGAGCGGGGAGCGGAGCCCAGGTCCCGCAGGGGAGGATCGGGTTTCCCCCCCGCCCTCCCTGCCACAGGCCTGGCAGCCGCCGGGGCGATTCCCGGAGCCGGCCGGGCTCCCCCTGCCCCCGGCCCCACAGGCAGCTCTGGGAGCAGCCGCTGCCAGGCTCTGCCCGCTCGCCCAGCTGCACGTCCCGGCCTCCAGCCCTGAGGCTAAGCCTCGACACGCGTCCCCTCTGCGTGCGCCTCAGGAGGGGCTGCGGGCCCGGGGGAGGCATGGTGGCCAGCACTGGTGTGGCTGTGCCTCCTCGGCCATCGCCGGGCTGGGGCCGAGCCGCCTGCCCTCCGGCTCACATGGCTGTCCTGGGGTCAGGGCTGGCGGCTGGCACTCTGCTCCCGGCCTCCCAGCAGAGCCGGTGGGCTGCAGGCTGGGCTGGGTGGGGGCTGCAGGCATGGGAGTGCCGGTGGCACAGGTGGTGCCCTGGGTGTCTTGTGCCAGCTGACTGCAGCTGGCTGCGGGGCCTGGCAGCGACCCCAAAGTGCTTGCCATGAGCTCGGGGGTGTTTTCCTGCTGGGCTGCTTTGCCCCCGTGGCCTTGCTGCCTGGGCTGCAGGCTGCCATAGCTCGTCCTTGTGCGCTGGGGCTGGCCGGGCTGGAGGGCCCCGCTCCCACCCAGGCAGGGGGGAGCCACCATCAATCATCCCCGGAGGGGTAGGAGCTGCGGAGCCAAGTGATTTCCTACTGTCGGGAAACATGGAGCGATGCCTGGAAGCGCTGGGACGTGCTGGGCTCCTGGCTCAGCCTGCCAGGGGCACAGCCAGGCGTCCAGCGTGCCGTGCCATGCCGCAACCAGTGCCAGGCCGTGCTGGGGGTGGACGCGGCACTGAGGGACGGGCGCTGGCCTCTCTGCTGGCCCCAGCCTGCCGCTGTCCCAGCGTAAAGGCGCCATTGACGTGTTGGGCCCGGGCTACCTGGGGCGTGTGCTGGTGGCTGCTCACACACACGGCATCCGAAGCAGCCTGAGCCCAGACCAAACCCTCGACGGCCCTGTTGGGACGCAGCCGGCGGGCGCTGCCACCCCAACCAGGTGGGGTGGGACCGCCTGGAGGAGGGCCGGCGGGGCTGGCCAGCACTGAGTGAGCTTTGGCCACGACTGCCGTCGCTGTGGTTCAGGGCCGGTTGTTCCCCA